AGGGCTTAGGGTTTAGGGGATAGGGAGAAGCTAGGATATTCCTGGGAATAAAGTTTAACCTATCATGGACTACAGTCGAAGGAGATTCCCTATAGAGTCATAAGAACTAGATTTCAATAGGGCCCTGAATTTTCCCCAGATAGATAGGGTATACGGGCTCCAGTGGAAAATCAAATCAAACAAAGAACATGGAACATGAAATAGACACTAGGTTTGTGTCGGGGTTGATAGGGATTGTGGTTTCCAAAAAATAGCGTCCCCAATTTTTGGGAGTCCCTATAATAATGTAGTTAGTATTGGGCCCTCAAATCCCTTATTCATGGCAACCAGATAGCAAGAGGATTTTAGCCCTGACCCCCATTATACGGAGTTATGTGAGATTGCAGGGTCCTTCTTTTGGGGGTTGTGGTAATCAAAATCCGTGCATTCATCAAGGTGGCAAGTTGGAACATGGAAATAGTAATTTATGCCTGCTCTTCCTCTGTCCCTAAACCCTAAACCCTTTGTTCTAGGTCCGGGAGACTGATCTTCTAACTTTTACCGTCAAGACTGAAGGTCAGCACAAGCCCAATATAGTTGTGACAGACAACCGCCCCCCACCCCTGAAGAGGATGAGATTTAGGTGAGTAAACGACAGCATCTTCCAGTTATCTCTGTAATTTCACTCAGGGATGTTTCTTGGGGTTCAGGCTTGAGGGTTGAGAAACCTCAAGCCTTAAGCCGCAAACCTTTAAGGTTTCAAGGTTTGAGTGCAAACATGATTGACTTGCATGATCGCAAACCGCAAACGCAGCCGACCACAATTCCGATTGCCATGTCCTGTTCATCCTCATAGAGGGACAATACGAGATGTCCCTCATTCAAACTCGGCCCCTGTCGTCAATGGAGGAAATCATGCATGAACTACAGTCCACCGTATATTGAATAAAACGTCAATATCGTGATGTAAGATTTCGTGCATGCACCACATGTCCCCAGGAGACATTCCCAATATGTCGCGTCGAATTGTATCAGTCATTTGGTGGAACCACAGTATCTAGTGCACATCCATATTTATGCTGATGGGATCTAAGTTCCTTATCTGCAGTCCAGATTATCTGCCATCAAGCACGGCTTGAACTCTGCAAAGCTATGTGCCACGGGGGTCCATGGGATTTAGGGTTTGACCCCTGAATCCCAAATCCTGAACCTTAAATCCTGGATTCTACGTTCTGCGTATACTTTCAGTACTGCCCCCCCTCACTAACAGCTGGATAATAACTATAATATGGTTATATATAGCCCTTAATAGGACCCTGATATAGACTGTTACTGGGTGGGGGCAGTACCCAACGTATACTTACTAAGTCCCCGGAACCCTCCAAGTCAACTGTGCACCGAAACATGAAGCCCAGGAGCAGAGCATCGCTACTTCCCTGCGCCAACACTTGAGTGTTGGGAAGGTGCGGGTTGAGGGTTTGGGGTTCCGGGTTGAGGGTTTAGGGTTTAGGATTTAGGGTGTGGGGTTCAGGGTCCCTAAGCCCCATGGTTGTATCAACCTCCGTAAGCCTCGCTAGAAGGTTAGGGGCTTAGGGTTTAGGGTTTAGAGGTTTCATCTCTATGCTGGCAGTAGTTTTGGCTGTGTCATGGTGGAGTGCTATTTCGTTCAATGGGCGAGCAATGAGTGCAGGCTCATAACGCCCGGCCTCCTGTCCTGACAGGACATTTCGGAAGCCCTTCAGGCCTCTGCATGTGAGTGGTCAACAGAATGGATAATATCGGTCCTTATTTCTGAGCTCTGGAGAAATCACGGGTTTTCATATGATTTTCCAACTTAAAGGAGAGCAATTCGTGCAATCTTTCAAATGAAGGAGTTTCTCACAATCATTCCTAATTCCATCATCCTCTTGCAATCCGGATTCCCTAGGGCCCCTCACGGCCCCACAACATATCATATCATATATAACTATACATATACATACCTTTAACCATAACGGCGCTGCACACAACAACATGCCTATGATTTTGAGAGGCTCCCAAACGGTATTTCCAAGGATTGAAGCCCCGCTTACAGCTTGTGTACCATCAAAAAGGTATGGCCCTTATCATGGGGACTTCCAAGACCGTACCCCTGCTTCTTGAAAACCTCAAGCCCTAATCCCCAAACCACAAATATCCTTGTGTATCCCTGGATAACCTTTGCAAAGCCCTTGCCTATCTGGACATATCCGTTTATAGCCCCTATAGAACCCTCACATATCCTAACAGATTCCTACGTGACCCCTGCAGAACCCTTTACATGGAACGTAGGCCCTAAATCCGAAACCCTACATATCCTCATATTTCCCTATACAACCCCTATAGAACCCTTCATTTGGAACAAAAGCCCTAAACCAAAAGACCTAAACCTCAAACCATTTAACTGGAGCATATGCCCTGCAGCCGAAACCCTAAACCCTTTACCTGGAACATCTGGCCTAAACCGTAAACAGTAGTTTCCATTTTGTTTTCCATTATGCCATTATAACCCCTATATAACCTTAATACTACCCCAATCTTAGGGCTGACTATTGTTTTACCTGCAGCATATAGGACAGCGCCACGTCGAACGAGCTCCAGACTGCTTTCGAGCTGAGTCAGGAGTTCAGTCGTACAAAGCCCCTGGGCGTGGGATTTTCGAATTTTTTCGGTTTAGGGTTTAGGGGGAAGGGATGGAGGATTGGAGATTTAAGGTTGAAGTTTGAAGGTAATCTTCATGAACTGTTTATTTCAGATGACCCTGCAGAAGGCTTATAGAGGGAGACTGGGAGGTATATAAGGGATGTGTATGGCTAATAAGGGGAAGCTACCCCGAAAGGTGTGGGTCAATGGCTCGAGGGATTCTGGTGGGGTGAAGGCTTTCAGGGTATGAGGATAATAATAACAATAACAATAATAATCATAATAACAATAATAATAATAACAATACTAATATCAATAACAACAATAATAATAGGGATGGTAGGGAGGGAGGCTGGAAATTTAGAAGAACATGGAAATTATGAATGGTTGGGAGTGATACTATGATCTGCCAGGGAACAATTGAGGGTGGCTAGTAGGTTCACCAAGGGACCATTAAGGCTCCTTAAGGGTGGACACAGGGTCCCGCTGGTAGTTTAGTGCACTCGGTAACATGCTCCTCAATGAGGACCCATGTCCAAAATTTCTATGGGACATATTCACGGTAACTGTAACCGACTGTAACCCTAAACCCTAAACCCTAAACCCTAACCGTAACCCTAAACCCCCAATCACTGTTAGGATCCATTCCCTTCATTCCTCGCTAACTAGGGGTGGTGTAGGGATCAGTTTCCAGTTCCATGGCTTGGTAGTTCTGCCACTTGGTCGGCAAGTGCTTAAGTTCAAACCTGGGTATAACCTGCGTAGGGTTCAGAGTTTAGGGTTTAGCCTGGCAAAGTAGAGCGTATTTCTAGTGCCGTTTTGAGCGTCGGGGGAATCAAGTACACTCCGAATCCCTACCATGTGTCCGTTGTTAGCTTGTATAGTCCTTGATACTTACTGGCAGAGGCTGCATGATTGACAAGCACCTCCTTTCAAGGGCCTTAATATTAGGATCCCTTTTATAATCCCTTTTAAGCGTCACGGGCCTGGGTTAGTGAGCTGTCGTATGGGGTTTCGCAAAACTTGCCTTAAAAGCTCCCCCGTTCCATTGTGATCCTGCCGCATCCTCATGACAAGCTTGTTTTTAGAAGCCCCAATGTATCTGAGCATTAGCTCCTTCAACCCTAAACCCTAAACCCTACACCCTTAGCCCCAAACCCCAAAAAACCCCAAACCCTAAACCCTAAACCCCAAGCCCCAAACCCTAAACCCCAAACCCCAAACCCTAAACCCTAAACACTGGGGACCTCGGACCTCGAAGTAGAATCTACGGGTCTGACGGCTCGGACCTTGACAGGAGATACCCTCCACTTGCGAAGGAGGAGGGGCGGTTGGTTTAGGGTTTAGGGTTTAGGGTTTGGTGTTTAGGGTTTAGCGTTTAGGGCGGGGGGGGCTCTCGCGCACTTTGGGAATTCATGTCTGTAGTAGTTTAACTATTCCTTGGCAATCCTTGTATACCGAACCATTGCAAAGCTACATAATCCCTGCAATGATTCAGGAAGAATCCCTGAGCCCTGTTTGGACTTCTCGAGGTATATACCTTGGATGCTGCCCCACCATTGTTGCAATTGTAGCCAAACTATATCCTTCATGAAGCTTGGAAGCAGCATCCGATATGCAGCTGAACTACCCGCAGCGTGAGGGGGACTAAGGAAGCTCCTTTTTATAGCCACATAGGTTATTTTGGGGCATCTAAGTAAGCACCTTGAAAAGGTCGAGTTTTCTGTCATATTCAATTTTCTCCTGCATCTGATTGTGCAGTATGCTAAGCCCCCTATAACCCCTGTATATCCATGTAAATAACCAGCTTCCATTTCATTTTCCATTGTCTCTTCCACTTGATTCTCCAGTTTCCTGAACCCTAAACCCCTCAACCCTAAATCCAAACCTAGATTCTGCACCCTAAGCCCTAAACCCTACATCTTAACCTTAGATCCTACACCCTAAGCCCTAAACCTACATCTTAACCCTAAGCCCAAGGTTCGACATCCTGGACCAAGCTTCTGACCTGGGCCTCGAGGTTGGGGACTGAGCTTGAAGTGAATGATCTCCGTTAAAGGTGCAGTAGGGAGCGTACATGCACACAGACATACATACATGTATACATACATATATATGTACACATATATGTATGTATATAGGGCTTAGGGTTTGAGGTTTAGATCTTAGGGCTTAGGGCTTAGGGTTTAGGGCTTAGGGTTTAGGGGTTAGGGTTTAAGGGTTAAAAGGGGGTTTCCCAATATAAGGGGTACCTTTTCAGGGTCCCATAATTTTGGGATTCATATTGGGGTCATGGGATCAAAAGAGGTTATGGACAAAGTACAAGGAATGAGGTTGTGGGCCTCCTGAAATTTTGAATCCTCTTCTTCGAGTTGGATATGATTATCCTAAACCCTAAACCCTTTTGAAAGTAGAATGCGGATTGGGCACAGGCCCCCTCTTCAAGAGGCCATGATCAAGATTTCCTTGGAGTACCCAGTTGGAGGGTCAGGGGGACTTTCCAAGGTTTGGGGTTTTAGGATTAAGGGTGCAAATTTACCATCGAAGGCAAGCCGCACGACACCGAGGACCATCAGGCGTCGTGCTTCGCGTATGTCTTCCTCAAGGGTAGCCGCGGCGACACGTTTAGTTCCAGCCTTCTTCCTTTAGGCTTTTTACCATGGTGAAAGTCCTGAGCCTTGCGTGCCTGGGGGTGCTGGGCTTTGCTGGGGCCCAGAAGCCCCGCGCAGATATCCAGAAGGCCTTCGACCAGTTCCTGAAGGACTTCAACAAAGACTACGATGATGTGGAGAAGCAGGCCCGCTTTGGTGCTTTTGCGGACAACTATGAGTACATCCAGAGGGAGAACGTGAAGGGTCACTCCTACAAGCTGGGATTGAACGAATTCTCAGACATGACTTTGGATGAGTTCAAGATGAACAGGCTCGGGCTTCAGGTGCCGGACGCCATGTGGGGATGGGCACGCACAAGGCGGGGAACAGCACACTGCCCAGCTCCGTGG